TGAAATCCCCAAAGTACTCTGGAGAACCTTAAACTTTATCTTTACAGGGAAAGGGGTGTGGTGCCCAGTCCAGTAATGCTATCCTAGGACAGCCTGCTGTCCCCGTGGACAGCCGAATGTGCACTAGATGCAGTGCTTTGCTGCTGTCAAAATGAAAGAAGAAGCTGAATCCCAACAATGGGCACAGTAAAATTGTAATGAAGAAATTAAATGGATATTGTTCTGTAACGACAGAAATAAATGAATTTGTCTCTGTTTTAAAAGTCCACTAGAATATGGAGGGACTTAATATATCTCCTGAAAATCTCCCAGATTATGCCTTAAGAAATAGCACACTGCACTAGCGAAAGATCTGATTTCTAAGGGATATAAAAGGTCAACTGGGAAGGCTCGTGACTGACAAAAACGGAGAAACTGAACTGAGCACAAGTGTTCATAATTCTCTTTCCTGACTGTGAATGCGATGTGACCAGCCACTTTATACAGAACCATTTTTACCTTCATCATCATCATCATCATCATCATCATCATATCATCCATCATCATTTCTCTTCATCTAGTACACTTGTGTTTGGCTTCTTGTTTTTACAGAACGTCAAGGTACGTATCACTAGATAATCCACTTTGGCATCTTTCTGATTTGGGGGGGTGGGTGGTCTTCTTGAGACAGTGTCTCCTTGTAGCCCCAGCTGGCCTGGCACTTGCTATGTAAACCGGGCTGGCCTTAATCTCACAGAGCTCCACCTGCTTCTGCCTCCTGAGTTCTGGGATTAAAGACGTGAGCCACCACACCTGACGCCATGTTTCTGATTTCTAATGTGAGCATTTGTGCCTATAAACTTTCCAGTTGCCTTAGCTGTATCCCACAAGTTTTGGTAGGTTGGTCTATTATTTTCATTTGCTCTCAGAATTTTAAAATTTCCTCCCTGCCTTGTCCAATGACCTATTCTTTACTCAAAACTGAAATGTTTAGTCTCCTGATATTTGCGTATTTATTGTGGTTTTGCTTGCTGATTTCATAGATTTATTCTACTATGGTCTGATAAGATGCAAAGAATTATTTTGATTTTTTTTTTTGGTATTTGTTAAAAATTGCTTTAATGGTCTTTAACGTGATCTATTTTAGGAAAGGTTCTATGGGCCACTAAAAAGAATGTGCATTCTCCATCTCTTAAAGGTATAGTCTCTAGATATATGTTCAATCTAATTCACCCATGGCATAATTTAATTCAGAAGTTTCTTTGATTTATATTTTGAAAGAGCTATTTAACAATGATAGTGGGGTACTGAAGTTTCCCATTATTATTGTGTTGGGCCTATTGGCTTTCCATGACTTTTGGTGTTTCTCTAATGGAATTGAGAGACCCAACATTCAGCCCAAGAATGTTAACGATTGCTATATATTCATCCTAAAGTTTTCCACTTATTCGTGTGGTGTGGCCTTCTTTATCGCTTCTTATTCTTTATGTTTTGAGGCCTGCTTTATCAAACATGAGAGTTGTTATGTCGGCCTGCTAATGGCTTTAGTTTACTTGGTAGATTTATTTCCATCCTTTGATTCTCAGTGTTTGGATAACTTTCTAGTGAGGTACGTTTCTTGGAGATAATTGGATCTTGGTTGTTAATCTAATCAATTAGTCTTTGTCTTTTAAGTGGTGAATTGAGACATCTACACTCAGGGTTAGTATTGAGAGGGGTCTGCTATTTCCTATAGGATTTTTGGTGGTTCTGGTTGGACTATTTGAAGTTCTCTTCTTTTCCTGCTATTATAAAGAGTTTGCTGCTCACTTTGTTGGATATGATGGATCCTTTCCCTGCTGTTCTTTGGTATTCCTCTCCTGAAATGTGTATTTTCTTGTGTTCTTGTAGGTAAGACTGACATCTTCTTCCTCTGTGTATAGTATTCCTTTAAGTATTTTCTGCATAACTGGTTTGACTGTGGTAAATTACCTTAATTGTGCTTATCTTAATATGTCCTTATTTCTCCTCAGTTTTAAGGGATGACCTTACTTTCTATAGGAATCTTGGTTGACAGTTAATCACGTTCAAGGCTTGAAATGTATTGTCCCATGCTTTTCTGACTTCTGGAGTTGCTGAGGAGAGAGCCTTTTATGCTGGTGCTTTTTCCTTTACAGTTTTTAATTACTGTTTTTTGGCTTTGGGATTTTGACTACTATAGATGGTAAGCTTCTCTGGTCATACTTATGTTGGGTATTTACCTTGTGTCCCCTGATGCTGTGCTCCAGCCCTCTCTCTCCTTGCAATATGATGCTGTATCAAACCTCTGATTGTATTTCTGTGTCTCTGGGATCTCTTGGTGCCTGGTCATGAGAATACTTCCTCAGTGGCTATGGCTGACTAGAGCTAGGCTCAAGCAGTGAGCTCCTTTGTGAAGGAAATCCCAAGTAGACTATTTCTGTTTTTATAAAAATGGGATCTATATTTTTATCCTTCTTTTCACCTGATTACACAAATGTGGCTTCTAATGTTCATATACTAAAATGCAATATGTATTCAAATGTTTAGATGTACTTATAATTAACATATTTAAATTTAAAAATTTAAAAAGAACAGAATATTACCATCTAATGAAACAAGTAGGCATTGCCATTTTTTTTTTTAAAGAAATAGTTCAAAAGACTACAAAGTGTAATAATCTCTTGATGTACAGTGTGGCTGCCTTTCTGGAAAATGTAGTGTCAATTAAAATGAATAAAATTACTTTGTGTTTCTATATAAAATACTTTGGTTATAGGCATGAATATACACATTCTCCCCTTCCCAAATACGCTATATATGGGATATTCAAAAGCTATGTAGGCACTATACAGTTCTTGGCCACATTGGATATTTTGAGTTTTACATGATCTATAGCAGCTGTCCTCCAAATTATTGAGAAAAAGTCAACCCTCTATATAATTACTCCTAGGGGTTAGAACAATCTGCCACTGGTCTTCAGGAGAACCACATAAACAGTTTTGCAAGATTCAGTACCTTTGTGAATGTTATTATAAATGCTTGCCTTAGGATTGCAGGATGATATCTGCTGGTCCCCGCGCTCAAAGTCTCTCATGTAAGAACTATTTCTAACTGAAAACCCTACTATACTTTGAACTCACAAATCTCTAATAATAAATTTCACTTAAAAATTCTGTAAAAAAGTAGACAATAAACTTATGTATAGTAGGAAACTAAAGACAGTTGTACTGCTCACCTTGCTTCCTCTCTGGGTGTACTTTCCCTAAAATCACTTTCTCCTGTGTTTCCTAGGTAAACAAGATCAAACTGATCTACAAGATCTACTTCTTTCACACTAGTGCAAAAGTATGCTGAAACAAATAACCTAAAATTCATTTATAGACGACACTGAAATGTTTCATTACATTGTATTTGGAAGAGTATCTCTCTAATTAAATTCTATTAGCCACCTATTAAAAATAGTTTATATTTCTTGGTCAACCTAATGACTGCATTGTTCAAATTCAGAGCTCAGGTCAGAAAGAGCACTGAGTCCAGGAACTGAGAAAAGTGACTTAAGTATTTTCAGAAGTTCCATTAAGTGGGATTGGAACATGTAATTTATTTTCGGCACAAAACTTTTGTTATATATAGATGTCATGTTAAATTATCACACCACTTGTAAAAGCAGTGTAATTAGAGGTATACCCTCACTTTAAACAAAAGCCATAGGACTTCAATTTACCTAAAGATATATATTGCTTAGAATAAAGTCATTATAGTTGCCCTTTGAACACAAAAAAATGACTGAGTTATAATGCCATTTTAAAAATGAATCAACTAGAAACCTGGGGAGCTGACTTGATGAATAAAGCACTTCTCTGACAAGTGTGAGGACCTGAGTTTAGATCCCTAGCACCCACATCAAAAGCTGGGTGGCTGTGGGGGTCTGCCTTTAATTTAATCCCAGTGATCTGAGGCTGAGACAGAGAACCCTTGGGGCAAACTGGCTAACGACTGGGTTCAGGAAGAGACCCTGCCTCAGTAAATACAGAGTGATTGAGGAAGACACCTGACGTAAACCTCTGGCCTCCACATACACAGGCACATAACTGTACCTAAACATGTGGGTGTATGCCTTCCCCTCCTACACACGCACACACTACACACACATATATATACAAAAAAGGATAAATCAGATACTGGAGAGATGGTTGTTCAGCAGCTAAGAATACCAGCTGCTCTTGCAGAGGATCCAGGTTCAATTCCCAGCACCCACTTAGTGGCTGACAATCATTGGTAACTCCAGTTCCCGGGAATCTTTTGCCCTCTTCTGGCCACCATGAGCACTGCATGCATGTGGTACACTTAGGTACACACAGGCAAAATACTTGTACACATTAAAAAAAAAAATGAGTAATTTTTAAAGGGATGAATTCAATGATTGAATATCCATTAAATTTTTACACATTATAAAAGACATAATTATACTCACTGAAAACTAATTAGACTCTGTAAGTGAAATAGCCATTTTAACAGATATCTAGCCTGCTTTTCCATTTTAAATTTCACTAATTTACTAATAACGTGTAAAATAATTTAATCTTTCTTTTAAAAATAATCTTAGTCTGGCTATGTATTGATTCATAAATGTAATTAAATAGTAAAATATATCCATGTGTAGGCACTACCTTGATATAAAAAATAAGCACACTTTGGTATAAACCAAACATTTGTCTTTTACAACATGGGGATTTCTAATTGAGTGTACAAAGAAACTTTGACAAGATCTGGAACCTCCATGTTTGTGAAGTGAAGTTCACGCTTGGCTCAGCTTTAAAGCAGCTGAGCACACACGAACTCTACACATGCCTATGATTTCAATAAAAGCCATTCATTTCAGAAGTCATATTTCCTATTAAACAGAAAATACTGGTGCCAATAAACAATATTCACACCTAAAAAATGTGATCTGAAAAACTCATCAGATACTGCAAAGTTCTAAGTACACAGCAAATGTCTCGACAAAGCCTGGTACTCACCTGGTACTTGGCCGCTTTTGCAAAGCTTTATCCAGAATGAGGGATGGAGCGCTCCTCCGTCTTTCTGCTAGTGTTTTCATCTTCTGTGGAGGAAAACAAAATCAAAATAAAGACCAGATGGCTTGTAGATGAAATAAACGTTGATTTTTAATCCAATTCAACAAATTTTGTATTGACTATCAAGGAGCCTACGATTTCATGATGGTTTTAAATAGGACCATAAGTGTCAAAATGTGGTGTAGGCAGTTTACTGTCAGAAAATAAGGAGGCAAAAGCTGGTAAGAATGCCTGGGAAGAGCACTATTTGTATTGCGTGTTAGGTCCTATGGCGAAGGCTAGACATGGATCATCTCATTCATATTCTAAAGTATCACCAGAGGATATACTTCTGGCTCCATTGCATAGAGAAGATATGTTCTCAAATAGAGATAGGTTAGTAAAATGAATAGAGTCACAAACAGTCATGATCAACATTCAGACCGTTTGGCCAAAGCCATTCATCCTGTTAAATCCTTGTGTGGCCAGAGCTCTCACTTGCTGCCCAAAAGCGTGTGTCAGCTATGCTGAAGAGCTGCATGTCACTCCAACAGGAACCTCACAGAATCAACTAGCTGGCTCAGTGTCGGTATCTCAGTAGGAGAGTCACAAAAGAACCAGCCACTTCTCAGCTAATTAAGTACAACTTAGATACCAGCATAGGAGCTGAGGAGACATCTACTTGGATACTATCCTCGGTTGGTACAATTCTTATTTCACAGATTCATTATTTCTCTGGGATCCTCATACATGGCTGCTGTCACCGCTACTCTGACCTTATTTTTGGTGTTCACCTCATTAATCTTTTGTCTCTTCTGTAGACACCATACGTCCAAATCTCCTTAACACAGCCAAGGAATCAGCTGAAGTAATTACATAAACAATAAAGAGGAAACAGCTGATTCTACTTCCTTCTCCCTTCCTCCCTTTATTCAGGAGCCATTTTTACTATTTTAAAAATTCAAATGTATCCAATGCTCATGGTCTTATCTGAGCTCCTTACTATCTGCTTTGACTTTGAGAGGTTGGTTGCCTTTTCCATGGTGCCTGTGTCAGCAGCTTTACATTTACTTTCTCACTTACATCTTCTGATGTCACTACCAAAGTCCTGCAGAAGTTCTTCATTAGTTCATGATTTCTAATTCTAAGCTCCTTGACATTCAAGTTGTCAAGAATTTGGAAAGGATTCAAAGCATAGCCACAGAATGGACTAAAATGGGGGAGAAAAGAGCTTTTGAAATAGAAATGAGGTTCTTCATGTCTAAAGTAATAATTTCTAAACCAGCACATCACTGTCACCCGTGGGAAATGAGCATTCTCATGAATGATAAGATAGCAGGAAAGAAACTCCAGGTTTACCCTGGATAATAGATATCGGAAAATTCACAAAAGTTGTAAACTAAAATTTTACAGAATTTTATACAAATTGGATCCCTTAAGAATTCAAGGAGTAAGAAACCAAACTGTCTGACTTAAGGAAATCTTTCTGAGTGATAGTTGTTAAACACAGGAATGGATAATTTTAAAATTGGTGACACACACTCCTTTGTACAGGGTTTACATTTTTTTTTTGGAAATAACATGAACATTTATATGCAAAGTGATTAGACTGTGTTCTAAGTAATACAATACTGTCAGATGTATGAAGGTTCAAATGTTGACTATCTCCACCTCATTCAGCTTGATTCATTCAGTGTAACAAAATAACAGAATA